TCCCGCGGGTTCCCTAAGAGTCGTGGAATATTTTTTTTTGAGGAGGGACAATCATCAGATAACTGATCTCGCTCATGGTATAGCTAGAGGGAGTTTCAGATTGTTACTAAATAAAAACCCCCGTTACTCCTCCTGCACGAGGCCAAGGCCGTGGATCCTTGTTGCTCCCTTCTTTTACCCGCGACCCCGGCTAAAAGAGCCTGGGAACGTAAGATCTGGAGGACTGCAAAGCGACATTGCTCTGAAAGACACCATTTTGTTAAACAGCGATCTTCAAACCAATCTGTAATCCAGTAATCCTGAGGTTATGACCGCTTAGCAAGCGTGGCTTAGCACAGATTTTCTGTTAGTCCATGTTGTCACTCTGGTCGAGCTGGTCCTTTCGTGATGCAGCATAGGTCAACTTATTCTTCATAAGCATTCACAGCTAATAATGTACTTAGTTTTAGTTAGGTGGTGGCCGGAGGTTACGGCGCCCGATTCTTATGCCAAAGGTGCGAGCTCGAAAACTAGCAAGCACCGATGTGACTTTTTCAAGTTATAAGTATGTACTCACTATGATTATTTAGACACCACTGACATTCGGTGAAGGAAAACATCGTGAGGAAACCTGGACTTACGAATTTAATTTCTTATAATAAGTTTGAAATCGCAAATCCGCCGTGAGCCATCGTGGTGATTAATGCTCAAACCACCTCTGTGTGAGAAGAGGCAGTTACAGCACTTATAGGATGATGGTGTAATGTAGTTTCATTGAGATTTTTAACATGAATATGATAATTTTGCTAAAGTACCAGGTAGGTATGATAATCAAGATGTCTCTTAATGTCAGAGTAATCAGTGATGGTCATAACCTATAAAATTTAAATAAACATTATACACGTGATGCATAAATTGATGTAAGATTGTCATTTGCAAACTGGTTCTGAAAACGAGACAAAATTGTTTTTCTATGACATTTTTTAGGATATAATATGTTGGTAAATAAAAAAAATGGCGGTGACTTTTCAGATACAATAAATAAAGTAGTCTTGCTAAAACCAACATCCTTGTTGTTGTTTTTTTTTGTAACGTCCCGTTCTTATTATTACTTATTTAAAAATCCTTTTTTGTAAAATTAACCAAAAATTAGACAGCCGAAAGGTATTTTTTCGTTGAAGAGTATCTACAAAGAATTTAAGCACTGCGAAGATAGCAACTGCATAAATAATTCTAAAACCGCCAAAAAAGACTCAAAAAAGGTCAATTATTCATAAATTCTATCTCTTCTAAACTTAAAAATAACACATAAAAACCTAAGATATCAGGATTACCAAATTTTTTGCCGTCTTGATTTACAACCACAAAAACATGGACCAAATTAAAACATTACAGTAAATATATTAAATAAACTTATTCAATATAATTTTAAATTAAGGTCGGCAAGATGGTCCGGTCAAGTTTTTCTAGCGTCCATTGCAACCTTGTTAGAAGTTGGGTAACGTTGTATTACGTCTTTTAATTTAGTCTTGTTTAAGGAAATAACCAATAACCTTTGATGCTACTTTATGAAGAACTGAAGGTTAATACAAGGTAAAATATAAAGAAATTGTGTATATGGTTATTATTATTATTGATGGAAGCTTTATAATCATGACGGACTTAATGTATCGCAATGACGTATTGCGATTCAGCTCGGAGCAGGAGTAGGAACGGGGTGACTTTTAGTCAGTGCCTGACACTTCTTACCATACCCAAGGCGGGAGAAGAAACGTAGTTATTTTTCTTGAGTGGGTGATTTTTCACATCAATTAAAAAAAAAATAATAATGTCATTATCCTCAACCGAAAATTAACGAGTCTGCTGATTAAAAACCCGAGATAATTATTTTATTAAATTAAATCTCACCACTGCTTACAAGCAACCGATTAAAAATATTGTATAAAATAAATTACTGAAATGCTTAAAAACCTGGGAGGATAATGACTTGTTAAATAAAAGTTAAGGTTTTTTGGAGAATCACCCGAGTACTTTTTTAAATTTTTCGTATAATGTAAGTTCCAAAGTTATTTTTTTTGGGATACAATAAATAAAGTAGGTAGTCTTGCTAAAACCAACATCCTTGTTGTTTGGTTTTTGTAACGTTCAGTTCTTATTATTACTTGGGTGATTCTTCACATCAATTAAAAAAAAATTAACAATGTCATTATCCTCAACCGAAAATTAACGAGTCTGCTGATTAAAACACAGATAATTATTTTATTAAATTAAATCTCACCACTGCTTACAAGCAACCGATTAAAAATATTGTATAAAATAAATTACTAAGATGCTTAAAAACCTGGGAGGATAATGACTTGTTAAATAAAAGTTAAGGTTTTTTGGAGAATCACCCACTTATATAAATATCCTTTTTTTGTAAAATTTACTAAAAATCAGATAGTATATAAATAAACGTAAAAATGTTAACAGAAAACTTTTTATAGGTCAGTTGCGATTCGCAGGTACAAGAACTGCTGAAGATACAGTTAAATTTATTCTATAAAAATAAATATTTTTATCTGGGATCAGTACTTTGTAGAAGATAAGTAAGTATATTAAAAAATGTAGCCTAATGAAGACTTCGACCATACACCAATAGATTCATTCATTAATAAACTTTAATTACACAAGTATAGCATTCAATCTGATTTATAGAAGGTACATCATTACGATCTGTTGCAGCCAGTGACGAAATAATCGCCATTGTAAACTCATGTTCAGTACTAATGATCTCAAGTCCTTTTAAATAATGAAATAACTAGCTACTCCCGCGCGGTTTCACTCGCTGTTCCATTTAATCGTAGCGTGATGTTTTATAGCCTATAGCACTCAGGAATAGCTATCTATCAGTGAAAGAATTTTGGAAATCCGACCAGAGGTTCCAAAGATTACCCCCTACATACAATCTTACAAATTTTACCTCTTTATAATATTAGTATAGATATATGTTAGTACCCATCTGTAGATGTTTACTTATATATCATTCTAAGTTTAAAATTATGTAAAATTAAACGCTATTTTAATCTTTGCTTTGGCTGCTTAAATAGAAACGATTTTCTATGTATTGTTAATAGGTGGGATGGTTGTCTATAGGTATATCTTAAAAAAAAAAACGTTGCCCCACTTTAGGATTTTCTCCTGTGTTGTGGGTGCGTTTACAAACATACAATGTCACAAATGTGTTAATATAAAATATCTGATTGTATAATTCCATTTTCAACTGTCGAGTAGTTTTTGAATGCAAGATCTCAATATATTTTGTTACGAACCCAAATCTGGACTGAGATATGACTCGCGTCTATTTGACGTAGGATTATTCGAGTAGTCGTTGGTACCTTCCGTAGCAAAGGATCTCCGGTTCTATTCCCAAGTCAGACAGAGCAGTCGAACAGAAAATTCCATAAAAAGTATTATAATATTTACAGTACTTTTTCAATGATAACTTAATCTTCAACATAATCCCATCTGATGAATGGAAACGAACTGATCGAAATTTCTTGTTTTATCACATAAGAAGAAGTCAAGGTATTCGCTATAAATAACGTGCTTATACTTACATTGTGGTAATGTACTGAATCTAAAAGTCAATGATCTTACCAAATGTCATGAACAAGTAATGGTAGGGTACACATCGTGTGCAGCAAACGATGAAACAATAATGGATGAACCTCACTGATTACCCACTTGGAAACTGCCATGAAGTGCCAAAAAAATGCACATCAAAATACACTAATAAGTCAGAATTCTTCAAACCATTTTCAACTTTAGTAAAAAGAGTTTAAAGTTGAAAGTTTATAAACAGTGTAGGGTAGCTTGAAGTGCGATCGTCTTCTGACTTCAACCGCGGATTTCCTTTCAACTTGAATTATTGTCATGGTCTAATCATTAGACCATTAAGCCTTCAATATGCGTGTTTAATGTTTTAGATATGGTTCATATATACTTTTGTCAAGGTTTACATACATAAATGATGTTAAATATAACATAATATAATGGCTTTTGTACTGTGTTCAATCTTTACTTCTAGTATGTTTTTTATTTTTTTTGCCTTATCATCATAGTCTGAGAGTTTCGAAATTCAAAAAACTAAATACCTATTTAATTTTTTTACCCACGAATTAAACTTCAGGCTGTTCGATCTTCTTTTCGTTATTTAAACATTCAAAATTCTAAAATCAAAAAGTCTTTGAACTTACATTCTATTCTAAATTTGGTTAAAAACGTTCCAAACACAGCGTATCAAGTGACCGGTGCGGTGTAGCAACACTATTATCACTAAATTTAGTCGACTAAGTAAAATAAAAAATCGACTAAACGCCTTTTAACTAATTAAAAGTTTTCGCTTCAATGCAATCGGGTCATTTAGAATAGCAATTCTGTCATTGATTTCCATTTCGTTTTGTCTATTTATAGTTTCATGTATTTCGAAATAGTTAGATATAGAATTTGACGAATTTTTATATGTTCTGTCATTTCCTTATGGCTGTTTTGGACCATAAAATTAACGTTTGATTTATTTATAATTCTGGAATACTGTTTAGTGATTTATGGACTTTTAAATCATGGAACTATCAAAGATGAACATAACAAAATAAAAAACTTAATTGAAAATATCAACTTATCCAACTAGTTTCAATAAATTTAGTATGTATGTTTCACATTTTATATATGTACCTACTATTAAAAAATCAAAACCATTTATTCAACTTGACAACAAACTATAAAAAACAGCTTAATATTAAATACAAACAGCTGTCTCTGTTAATGTTACTAAATACCGCAATAATAGAGGGCGTTCCATTCGTAGTTGAGAACATTATTTGGAATGGTGTGGGAGTTATTTTTGGAAACATTTCCAATGTAAGTATTAATAGGTCATCATCTTTAGATGGGTAGGGAGACATTGTTGGATTTAATATTGGAAATGTAGGAAGCGCTAAAGAGTCGTTAGGCGCGTCGAGTGTTGTGCACTCATCAATATGAGCTCCGAGCGTGCCTTGAAACTGGTCGAGTGAGCAACATAATTGTCAATAGTAAAAAGTTAATTTTGAGGCGAACGGAGTTCGCCGGAGAGCGGAGGTCAAGTTTCTGTATCTTAACAGATTTTGTTACAGGATTTTTACTTTAAAATCAAAAGGGACGAATATCCGTACTTACATAATTAATTTCAAAATAATGTTTGTTTCTAAATTAAATTATAGTAATAATTATGATTAGTTATTATAATTATACAGTTTAACAGAATTATTTGATGAATATTTTCCTATGAATTGTTTATTAATAGTTAATATAGATTAATTATTGTTTTCTATTATAATTATTAAAATTAATATCAACAATTCTTCGGAAAATTATGAGCATATAGATCATAATTATTTAATTACCTATCCGCACATATGTATAAGAAAATTACATATTTTCTGAGAATTGTATAAAATGTGCAAGTTGTTTTATCTAATTAATAGTTATAAACTATTATAGATAATTACCAATTAATTACTCTTGATGAGTTGTATTTTACGTGAGTCTTATAGATAACTAGCTGCTCTCGCGCGGTTTCACCCGCTGCTCAGCTCCTTTTAATCGAACCGTGATGTTTTATAGCCTATAGCACTCAGGAACATTGTAGCTATTTATCAGTGAAAGAATTTTGGCAATCTGACCAGCGGTTCCAAAGATTACCCCCTACACACAAACTTACAAACTTTACCTCTTTATAATATTAGTATAGATATACCGTAGCTAATTACCTATTTTTTCCATTGGATGAAACACTATGAATTATATGATAGACTTTTTAAATACGAGTAGGTATATGTCGGGGAAGCACATGCAAAGATGAAGCATATATTAATTTTAATAAATATACGAGATAGACTTGGTATGTATGTTGGTAACATACATTAAACAATTCTAATCTGCCATGTAAGCTAATACAGAACAAATAAAAAAAACATCCTACCTACATTTAATAACATTGACATAACAGCTGAAAAAGTAGCACAGTGATCGAAATAACAAAAAGTGCTGACATAAGTCAAAATAAATACGAGCATAGACAAAAAACAATAATAAAGAAAACGTGACCTAAAACTTGCACAGTGGTTCGCACACCCGGAACTGTTGGACAAAAAGAACTCGCAATTGAATTGACGACTGTTTATCTTTTTAATTATAGAATTTATGATGCCAGCGATAATTATCGTAAATACATAAATAATGGAATCTCTGTATCGTTCGATATGGGCCATCTATGGATTTTAATTTTTTTAAGTTTCATTTCTTAGTTGAACGCTGGCTGATTGTGATTTTTTGGCACCACGAAGTTTTGTCATTGACTGCAATGAAGATACAGAAGGAAAAAAGGGGTGACGTGACAAAAGGGTGACTAATATTTGCAGCGTGATGGTCAAATGACCATTACATTACTATAGGAGTTGGCTCACTATTGTCTATTTAGTTTATTTTCTGCTTATTTCATTTTGAAATCTATTACATTATCACTTAGTGAGAACATCGTGACAATAAATGATAGCGACAAAAGCCATGCGCAAAGCATGCAATCAGAGGCAGGCCGAAAAGCATTGCATGGCTGTGGCACACGCAACATCGAGGAGTTAAGTGCGTTGCCGAATTTTTTGAGGTTTTGGGGAAGATTGGGTCTCCTGTAACCTCACTTACACAGTAATACGTCACGCCGGTGTTTCGTGCTCATTCGAGGCGCCCCATTTATGTCAAAATATGGCTCACCCATACTCACTTAAATCGTAAGTGTAGCTAGAGGTTACCAGTTTGAAGAACAAACTATACCTATAGTACAATAAACGTACATATTTATTAACTTATGGCATGTATTCGATTGCTATTTTCGTAGGCCTCGATTAAAAAGCTTTGTGTAAATGTCGATAAGATCCGTAAGTAAGTTGTTGTCCTTGGAGTTGATAAGGTACACGATTTAAATGAGTCTGGTCAAGAGATCCGAAGTACAATCGCAGAATATTACAAGCCTTCTGGCGGTAACATATTTTGATTTTGTAGACAACATATAATACTAGTAATGACTGATGGAAAAGGTGCCTTAAAAACCTTTGTGGTAAATAAATAACGAGGACTTTGGATTGTTGCTATCGTAAAAAGCGATGTCCTTAATCTTAACCTCAAAAGGTTGACCTTACAAAAATAACATATCATTTTACATAATACGTTTTTTATCAGAAAATAACCACCAATGTCAGATTGAAGATACCGCAATCAATTCTCAACTATCTACGTCAAAATTATATAATATTAAATCACGATTATAGACATTCATAGTTTTTATATATTTTTGGCAACAACTAACGACAAAAAGGCGCACTGATCTAGTAAAAACAAAAAAAAAACAGGAATGTAATCGACAAAATATGAATCACAGTGCAACGTGTAAACACCAGCACATCAAACTACCCTGATCTAAAATCTTTAATTGATCATCACCTTTAAACAAAATGATAAGGTTCAAAACACTAAGGTAATTTAGGGTAGGTTGACATGCAAGTATCTGTACATTGAACTTAATTCAAGACTTATGTGTGAGAGGTTCTGGTAAGCCAAGGACACTGACACTTACAGTACACGGCCATAAATATTGCAAATCGACCTTTGGAAGGAGACGATCAGCGGTCAAGTCACCACGTATTCTGGTCATGATTATAAGCTATTAAGCTGCTAAAACTCGTCAAGCAAGTCCGCAAATCATGAAAAGATTGAGAAAAAAGATTTCAATAAAATTATAGCGATATCATACAAAACTCGATGTGCAGTTTTTATCGCCAGGTACTGTACGCACCTTTCACTGCCAACAGATGAGTACTAGTTGGACTAATGAACCAATTTTGTCCAAGGTCGATCCAGTACAGGTGGTTCGGTTCTTGAATGAGACAAAGTGTGGGTGATTTATTGCAACTGCATTAAACTCTCAAGGCGTTCTAGAGGTAATATAAATTTGGGGCAAATATTGTATTCAATAAATACTATAATGACATTCATAAATGTTGTGGTCTTTATGGGCGCAAAGAAGTACATCAAATCCTATACTATAGTACTTTTTAAGATCAAAATGTTTGTATAAGAGATAATTTTAAACAACATGGCGAGGTATAAAATGAAACCGATATTGAGGTTGAAGACTGCTAGTTTTTCTATTACTTCTGTCGTAATAGGCATGCAGTTAGACCATTCTTGCACTTATCCACGGTCAGGTTATAATGCGGATCTAAAGACCACATAATTATTTTCTCTGTTAAGAAAAACCAATGAAAGTTCACTGGCTCTGATATCTACAAGGATATGGGTGTACCAAACAGGTCCTATTAGTGAATAGCATCATAGCCTGGCCGTTACCCGTGCATTGGTATTAAGATTCCAACACGAATGAAGGGGCGGAGTTGATGCAGAACAAGGACATTAACTTTACGAATGTTGTATAAAAAAAAGACTCACAAAGTACATAATTAAGGCTGTTTTTAAGGAATTGGTAAATGTTTATATGAAGAAGGGTTATTGGAGAATTTAAAGATTAGATAATTCTTATTGTTTGATGAAAAGTTAAAGCGAAAGGAAAATCCTGATATTAATTCATGCTGGTCTCTTTGGAAAATCCAAACCTTTTATGCCAAGATACTCTCAATAAAGAAATAGCAAATAATTCATTGAATATTTTTTCACAGATAGGTCAACTAGATTTGGAAAGACTTCTTAATAGGTACAGGTTTTATACAGGTTTTTGTATCAAGCATAATATACCTATACACCACTAACGTTAATTTCATAGGCGTTCCGTCATGTCCTCCAAAAAGGTCAAGTGCAGCCACACGTGACCGAATGAAGTGCACGACAAAAACTATAAAGTATCGTATTTATTCTTACACAATTACTACAAAACTATTACTTAATAGTTCATATACTTACTGCTTACTACGTGGTTTATATTAGAAAGTGTTTCTATAATCTAAATATTATTGATGTTAGTGGTTCGACGCGTGTCAATTGAGTCATGTACGAAACAATGGAATCAGGTTTGTTATTGAAATAATAAAACTTATGTTCAAGTTGTATATTGGTTAGTTACCTATTCCATTAATTACCATAAGGTTTACTTAGACTGCTACTGCTAAACTGCCATTACTACATCAGTGTTTACTTTGAAGAAATCTATAGTTTTCTTTAAAAAAAAATATAATTACTTTTCATCATATTCAGAAACGTCAATCGTATATTTAGCTCATTTCTTGTTTTTTTTTATTACTAATGATTATGGTACACGTCAGCAGTCAATTGAAGTATGGTTAATAAGTTATTAAATAAAGGTTTTTGTTTACTTGTAGACTTGTGTTTGTAAACTAAATAGGTTTTATGTTGGAGGTTCGTTAATATGACTGATTCGACACACATCATTACTTTAGACTGGCAGGCATTCTCAAACAGCCAAACATTGCCAATTTAAGGCACTTGCACAGTATCAACCTTGAGTGGTTTTGCAAAAGATTATTTAACAGTTACTAATTATATTTGTTAATGTCCGACATATTTGCACTAATTGCATACGTTAGGGTCGAATTACTGAATGTTTTGTACAAAGAATGAGCCATTTAGTTAGTAAAAATGTATATGCCTAATTGGTCCTTTTTGTGCAATAAAAATAAAAATGTTTTGTCTGAAGATGGCGATTTGACATTGCTTGGTTGGGATCGTAGCTACCGATCTTATGAGTCATAGACGAGAGCTATTTACTGAACTACAAACATCACGTGTTTTCTACTTCATATTTGATATACAAGTATGGTATAAGAAAACTTTTGTCTTTTACATATATTGGAAAAAGAGCGTTAAAAGACCAAATTTTATGTAAACAAAAATATACACTATTTTAATTTACAAACGCATGTAATAAGCGAATTTTCCGTGACATCAGTTACATACAGATGTATAATATGTCATGTTTTATTATTATTATTCAGTGATTTATTATTC